TAAGGAAACCCTTTTCTTGATCAGAAAATTACCTATTTACTTATTTAAGGTATAGTGGCATAATATTTACCTGAAAAATTTCAGAATATTAGGCAATAGCATCAATGATAAGTCCTGAGGACCTTGTATTTTTACTTACCTTTTTATAAGCCACTTTTTCTTTCTTTCTCTTTTTTTTTTAGCAATTTGATGATTTATTTACAGTATTTTTTCCTATCTCAATTTAATTTGCTTATCTTACAGAATTGTGATCAAATAGTATGTATAGCCTTTGTTTTCTGACTTTTCGCTTACTAATCTTGTATTTTTCATATTATTGCATATTCATTTTTTCCATGTTATTCATACACAACAATTTTTTTATCAACTGTTGTGACTGTGTTTTACATTTGATCTTCAGCTCTTACTCATCTTAGCTGAAAATTTGTACCCTTTTTACCAACTTTTCCCTATTTTATACCTTATTAAATATGATTAAATTTTGTCCCATTTAAAAGCCTTTTCAGGATCTGGCAGATTCTTCGGGTCATCATTATGAACAGTAGCTTGTCATTGCAATGTAGCTGTGGGCCTCCTGGCTGTTAGACTACTTGGGCTTTTAGAATACCAGGTTTCAACTAGCTGTTTTCTAAGTGGAAGACAGCACATAATTATAGCAGAAGTCAGAGTGCAAACTGAAGAGGCTCTGGCCAAGTCACTGCAACCAACCGGCTGGACTGCAGCACGGTTGCTCTGGACATTTTTGCTGTCTTAACAGTCCCTGAGGTTTGGCGCATGATCAGTTTGGGTTGCGACAATTGGGATCTGTCAGAAGACAGTACAAGCAAGAGAATCAACATTGTCATGGACTAGTTCAATGATGCAACTTCTGAAGTGTAAGATTATTCCAAATTAACTGTCTTTTAAAAAATGGCTGAGTTTGGGGATCATTTTTGGGAGGGGAGATGTGAAACAGGATTTCAAATAGACCTAGAAGGATGTTTCTGAATGCTGTTTTTCTCTTTAACTCACTGGCAGAAGAGGGTTGAAAGATATCCTGAGGAAAATAAGGTTGTTTATTTAGATACAGTATTTCTTTCACTCTGAAGAATAGCACATTAAATATTAGGCAATCTAGCATAGATGTGATGTAAGGTACTTTTTTTTTTATGGCAATAAAAATTGCCAATATTAAAAACTACTTCAATTGCCTCTATGTTTTAAAACATTTCATATGTGGTTTAAAAAAATCAAAGTCAACTGAAATCAATTCCTTTTTAAGAATATTACAGGAAGAGGTAGTAAAAAGCTCAAAGTCTAAGGTATTATTTGTATTATTGATACAGTATATACAACAAAGGTGTTTACTGAGAAGGCATAAATATGGGTAATGGAAAAGAACAGAAAATCTTTCAGATATGAGGAAGTTAGAGGGAAGTGATCTGAATAGAGCCAGAATTAATGATGTTTTGTGTTTTAATAATTAACTCAGGAAGGTTTTCAGACCTCTTTTCTAGACCTTTTCTAGACCTCTGGCCCAGGAATAGGAGTCTGGACGTATTTTCATTTAGTTAAATCTCTGTGTGCTTCATGGTGATTGGGACAGTATATACAGGTAAATAATATGAACACTGGGATTAAACTTTACAAATTTGAGACCTGAATCCACCCCTGACATTTAGCAGTTGTTCAATCTTCAGCAAAATCTTTCACCTCTGAATTTCTCTTTCCTCGGCTATAAAGTCAGGGTTTTGGACTAGACCTTTATGGTACACCTCTTCCCACCTGCTGGCTTCTTGAAACCCTGTTTAACTCAAACAAACTTCAAGCCTGTCAGCAGGAGATAGGATAATTCAATGACGGTATGTCCAGACAGCAGGGTAGTATGCAGCTGTTAAATAAATGAGGCAAGGCTCTAAGTGCAATTGGACTATGATTCATTTTTTCATTCATCCAGCAAAATTTGAGTCCTTCTATATGCCAGGTGCTATTCTTGGTGTTAGGAATACAGAAAAGAGCACAGACACAGAGCTTACATTGATAAGAGATCAGACAATAAGTAAATTATAAATATCATGGGGTTAGGGAGTGATAAATGCCATGAAGAATAATGAAGTGCTTTCTCTAATCTCTGAAACTTGGTAAGGAGAAAAGGAAGATATAGAATATACATGGGACACTGCTGGTAGAACATTTTTAAGAAGTAGGGCTTGCTTGCCCTTGGATTGAGAATTGGAGGTCAGGGGATGGTCTAGTAGGGACAGAGGCTTACTTTGAATACCCTTTTGTGCTTTTGATTTTTTCTTTTTTCATGTGTGTGCATTTATTTTACTTAAAAAAAAAGCCAAATGACTGAATTCCTGATGTTGCAGGGGGAACATAGTTTGGTGATATATTTTAACATGCTTTAATCCATTCTGAACTTTTTTGGCTATGTGTACTAGTCTTATCTATTTGTCCTGTGTCCTAATAATGCTTAGATAATAAAGATTTATGGCTTTGGTTTTCCAGACTTTTCTTTTTGATGTACACAGGCTGTTTTAAAATTAATGTTTGCAATGCTGAAACTTGTTTATTTATCATTTTCTTTAATGTGTTTCAAATACCATGAAAAGAAAATCTATCTGAAAGTTCTAAGCTTTTGCCTAAGGACAGCTTGTTTATTAGTCCATGTCTTCCTTTGGATAAAAATTAAACTTCTTGACGTTTTGTCTTAGTGTGTCTCAATTTTTATTTCAGTTTTAGTATGTTTACTTTTAGGTTCCAAACATTAGCTGAACTTGGAGAACTCAAATGAGATCACTTCCTTTTTTTCACCCTTAAAAAATCAACATGCTAAGCATCTTTCCTGATTTTTATCTCTGTTCTTTTCTAGTTGGATGAAAAATCTGACAAACAGTATGCTGAAAATTACACAAGGGTGAGTATATAAATTCCTAAGAGAACTAAGTTCTCAAGATCAACTCAAGTTACTTTCTACTATTTTATTATTTATTTTACTATCATTGAACTGATGAAGCTACTCTTCCTTTCCATGTACTTCCTGTCCTTGACCCCCCAAATTCCTCTGAGGTTGAATCATGTGAAGTCCTGGGAAGAGACAAAACACTGCATTTTATTTCCTTGAATGACACCTCTTCAGCTGGTGGCTACTCTTTTGATTTTCATTCCTTTAAAGTTTGATCCTGGAAACAATTAAACATTGAAAATAAAGTATCTTTAGGCATGGTGGTGACAAACTGAGGGTTTTTTTTTTTCCCTTTATAGATAAATTATTTCTTTGAAGTAAAATAATTCCTTTCTAGGAGGTGCTTTGTGTTAAAGTCTCTTTCTTCTGTAAGTGTTTTTACAAAGTCATTTTAGGGAAATGATCAAGATTAATTTTATGTTGTATCAAAAAGTATATACTGGTTCTGTCCAATAGAAATTTAGTACAAACCATAAATGTGAGCCACATATGTGTTTAAATTTTCTAGTAGCCACATTAGAACAGTAAAAAGAAATAGGTAAGTTTAATTTAAATAATAGATTTTATTTAACCCAAATATCCAAAATATTTAAACATAATCAATATGAAAAATTATTAATTTGATATTTTATATTCTTTTTCTCTATGGAGCCTTCAAAATCTGGTGTATACTTTACACTTAAAAAAAATCTCAATTTGAACTAGCCACATTTTAAGTGCTCAGTAGATAGGTGTGGCTAGTGACACTGTATTGGACAGTACAGATCTGTGCCATTTATTGATCCAGTAGCATTATCTCACATGTAAGTAGTTGTGGTAAGAGCTGTCTAAATGCACAGCTATACACAGTGTTTGCTCCTGGCTGCAAACAGTGTCTCCAACTTTAGCAACAAAATACTAGAAAAAGAAAAAATTCAAAAGAGGTAGCTTCAGGAATTAAATAGGAAGACTTCTAATTAACATACCAATCATGAAGTTCTAAAACTGTTTTAAATTAATCTGAAGTGCTCACCCAGTGTTGTTTACAATACAGCAAAGTTAAACCTAGGAAACAAACAACTCTCACACAAACTGTTTCCTTCTTGGTTATTATGAATTCTAAATTCTAGTCAAGCATGTGAGTGAGTGAAGCTGTGCTCCATGTGCCTGGCACTCCCCTGGTACCCCTGCCCTGGATGTGCCCCCCTGTCAGAGCCCATCTAGATTGCCTAGAAATGACACTTAAAACTTATGGTCCACACAAATTAGATCTGCTCCACCACCCTGCCCATCTTCAGTGTCCACAACAAACATATTTTAAAAGAAACAACACTCAGAAGTGTCATATTTCTTTTTCTCCAGCCTTCATCTCGAAATTCTGCCTCAGCAACAACCCCTCTAAGTGGGAATTCATCCAGACGAGGGAGTGGGGACACCAGCAGCTTACTAGATCCAGACACCTCATTAAGTGAATTGAGGGTAAACCACAACTTTTGGTTTTATTTTTAAAAACAGTCTTTTGGCTTCTTTGTAATATACTGTATACTGGAACTCTTTAACATTTCATGTGACTTAGTAGGCAAAAAAATGAGGATGAATTCTTTAAAAAAATTGTTAATACAGTTCAAGAATGTGACTCAGGTCTGGAAGGAAGAAGATGAGTTCATTCTTTTTCTGTTCTCCTTCCTGAACATTTGATGATACTGGAATGAGCTCTGCTTATTTATAAATGTCAGAAAAGCTTTTCAATGTATGTAAAAGTAATTCTTTCAGATGTAATTTGCCATATTTTAAATGGAAAATATGTGGATGTACATGGAACCAGACTCTGGGAACCATTGGTCTTGTGAGCCATTCTGGTAGTATTTGGCTGCTTCAGTACACTTATTTCAGAAATGGTTCATGATAAACAAGCATACCAATTTTGGGATAACAAATACCCGAGCAACAAAAAGCTCATCTACCCATTAGCTGAATCCCCATTCTTATTAACTCTTTTATTTGAAAGATGGGACTTTCAAAATGTATTTCAGTATCTGTTTGCCGAACCTGCTGTTTTTGAGGAATGGAGAAAAGAGTGAAAAAAAGCTACATCCATGCATTCACTCGACATTTATTGAGCACTGGGTCCCAGAGATTTAGGTAGCAAACACATTTTGGACTTCAGGAGTTCACTATTTCATAGGGAAGACAAACTGATACAAACCAGGAAAACCAGGTGATGGGATGGGATGGTAGTAGCAGGAACAAGGCTGGTAAGGGAACTCAGAGAAGCATCACCTAATAGGACCAGGAAAAGAGATAACAAAAGGCTTTTCAGAGGAGACAAACTGAGCTAAAGTGTGAAGGAAGAATAAAAATTAACCAGGCAGAGAAGGGGAATGCTTTTGCAGAGAGATGGATTCAGAGAACCAGGTTCTCTGTATAGCAGAGTTGCCAGAGGGCAGGATGGGAAGTGAGTAGAGGTGGGTGAGAGGGAAGGCCAGCCAGGTAGTGATGGGGCAGGTCCCAGCGCATCTGGTGTGGCAGTCTAAAGGATCTTGGTTCTACCCTGACAACTACGGAATATTCAGTAGCAGTGCATCTGATGTGCATTCTTTTAAAGATTGTCCACAGATGGAAGGAAGTGGAGGTGGGGAGAACAGTCATCTGCAGTTGAACAGTGAGAATGAGATGAGCCAGTCAAAAGTGTGATGGGAGAAAATGTAAGAAACTTGCTCTGAAGAGAATACTGGAGGACAGGGGGTGGTCTGTTAATAGCGGAGAGAGAGAAAGAGGTGAGAGAAGGTTTTTGTGTTCTTTGAAAGGCGGGCTTGATTATTTTCATTGGTTGGGTTGAGCCAGCAGAGAGAGACTGATGGTGGGGGAAGGAGGGTTGATGGGAAAGTGCCAGAGTGGGTGAGAGGAATGTCCAGGCTCAGATGTAAGCCCCCTCCCACTGCCACAGTAGAGGAGGAGGCAGAGCAGGTGATGGCTGAGTAAGATCGTAGGCGGTGCAGGAGCAGGAATCTAGCTTGTGAAATGGGAAACCTGTGAAAGTGGACTGGGGGGTTAGGGTTGGGTGGAGAGGTCTGGAACAGTGTGGGTGGCAGTAGTGGAGAGCTGACCTAGGCCATCATGGTCCCGGCTTGAAGGGGTCCGTGTTTACTGAGCTCTTCCTAAGCACCAGGCTAAGCAACTGCTGGTGCTGCAAAGTGAGTAAGACAAACTCTTTCCTTTAGGAGCTATTTCCCAGTGGAACAAAAGACACGAGAACCAGGCCTTCCCACCCCAGCTGAAGGCAGAACCCTTAGCTGTGCTTTTCTTCTTTGAAAGAATGACTTCCTAGCATTTGGCTCCTGTAGGCCCTCAATAAATGCCTGTTGAATGAGTCAATGAGTAAAACAGACCTACTACCAAGGAGGGAATGAAAGGGGCAGGGGAATATAATACAGAAACCATGTATAATCAGCCTTTGATAATTGATCCTGTCTATAATTGCAGAATTGTATTTTGGGCCCTGTGACATTTATTTCTCACCTAAATTGAGCATCCAGAATAGGCCTTATGTAGCAGGATCAGGTACAAGAGAAACAATATTTTCCATTTAAAATTGACCTGCTTCACTTCTCTTAAAAGGATTATGGTAACATTTGGAGCAAATGCTCTTTTCATCCTTTAAATGATGTCCTTAGGGTAGACTCTCTCATTTGACAGTGTATTTAAAGTGTTTGTGTTTTACTTTTTCCCAAGTTAAGTGCAGTCAGTAGCCAAGTTATTGAAAGGAAGCTATGTTTTTAAACATTTACTAGAATTTTTTAAAACTTTTGCATGAGGTAGTAAAATTTGCTGCTTAAAATTGACTTACTATATATTTTACATACTTAAAGGTAAAGCTTTATGCTAAAATTATTTATAAAATTAAAAAAATTATATGTTAAGAAATGCTGTGATTTATTTAGCTTTTTTCCTTGTACAGTCCCACCCCCATTTGCTAATACTGTTTCAACAGGAGTTAATGTCAAGAAATATTTAACACCTCAGATTGCTTTTTCCAGACCTTCCCTACATAGTCCCTAGATATTTCCTATCACCTGACCTGCCTGCCCCTTTCAGTGGTTTGGGGTGACAGTTACATGTGTGATTTCTCTGCTTTTAGTCTGGAATATACAAAAAATACTTGTTTTCATCTGAATCCTTTGAAACTGAAGATATATTTGTGCATGGTTTTATGCAATGGTTCATTCCTATATCCTGCAGGATATCTATGACCTTAAGGACCAGATACAGGATGTAGAAGGGAGATACATGCAGGGGCTTAAAGAACTAAAGGTATCAGGGTCCGCTCTGCAGCCCAAGCATGCTCTCTGTATGCAGAAGTGTCGGGTGATGGCGGTTTCATGAGTTGTTAACCCCCCTGCACAGAGCTTTACTAACAGTGTTTGTCTTTCAAGCATGTGCTTAACCTGCAATGCATAGGAATGGTGAACTTTCTCTCTCTGCTTATGTTTAAATGTTTTTGGAATATTCAGTAAAAGATAACATACCTTACAGTTTTTAAACCTTGTAAATACTTTCATGTCCCTTGTGTCTTAGCCATGTAAAACTGAATTGGGCAAACACCTAGAAGGTATCTAAGAATAGTTTCTAATTGAAATTGGGCCTTAAAATTCTTCCAAGCTAAATGAGGGAGTATTGCCTATTTTTGTCACCACATTTAGTCAATATTAAAGGCAGGGAGGAAGCATCTGAGATAGCGTATTATGAATATTCCCTCTGGAGGAAGGACCCTGAAGCATTGAGCCTGTGTTTTCTATTTCTATCACTTTTTTTTTTTCAACCAGTAGGTCAGTAAGGATTACACAGATTTAGTGTCTTAAGGAATTTGGAGGTACATTTAAATGAGCCCTTTTATGAGCGAGGATAGCTACCAGTTTTCAGTATAAGTGTCCAAGCCAGGCAGATGTTTTGATTGTAAACAGCCCTTGTTTATCATGCTCTTCCCTGTGTTTTATTGTGAAGTTCAAACCTAATATGAGGAAACCAGAAGTTTGTCTGAACACATTTGCCTGTATCTGAAAGAGAATTACACATCAGGGCTCTGAAAAAGCATCAACAAGGCATTCAGAAAAATGATGTCCGATATCCCCAAAGGACAAAGCATGGACATAATAGGCAGCTCTTTCATCAGCCTCCCTGGCAAGCTACCAGCCAGAAACTTCATGCAGGTGATTGTTATCCATAAGGAACTTCCAGTTAAGACTCAGGACCAGAAAGGGTGGAAAGTCCTATGGAGATCCCAGCAGGGGAGCCTGGAAGCTGCTGCTGCAGGCATGCCAGTAACCATCAGAGGACCACTGTGATCTTACTGCTGTAACTGTCAGGGTTTGATCCCCCTTTTAATGTTTTAGAGAGAAGACTTTTAGAAATATCTTGGATCAAGGGAACAATCTAATACATTAAATAAATATACTCATATGGAAGTTTCATATGTAACTGTATATCAGGAAAGCAAGGGATTCAGAGGCAGTCTTACTTTTTATTTTATTTAAATTTTTTTCTTATCTTTTATATCTACCATTATTGCATTCTTTGACGAATGCAAAAGAACAGGTTAAATTTTTTTGAGATTGAATAGATAAGATTCCTTTTCTTAATTCATAGTACTATATAATTGAACTTAAGTTTATATTTGTTCTCGAAATGACTCTTTTAAATGGAAGAAAAATTATGAAAAATATCTGATTGATGATCCAGCATGGTGGTGTGAGGTATCATATCTTGTAAAAAAGGGTGCTGGGTCATTGCTTGTGGCCTTTGGGTTGCTTTCCCCATTCTTGCCTCCATCCTGAATCACCTGGTCCTATTAAAATTGATTGCTGAACTCTCTTTCCAGATTTTCTCCTTCAGTGGGTTTGGGATGGGGTTGAAAATCTGCCTTTTTACCCAATTCTCAGGTAATGCTATTGCTGCTAGTTCAGAACCCACACTTGAAAATTGCTGCCTTAGATGATTTAAGTAAAACTAATTCTTAATGAGAATCATGTAAGCTAGGTTGAAATCATTAAAACTCCCTTGACACTTGAATTTAAAACAGTCTTCTGTGGCCTATTGTTCAAAGAAAGAGTATATTCCATAAATTTTATGTCAAATTTATTGTGTAAAAATATATTGTATTCTTGCATCTCTGCTGTTTCAGATTCTGGTGTTCATACAGGTATGGCCCGTTTTATATGGGGCTGAGTTGTGAGGAGGACTTTTTAATAAGCAGCTAATAAAGTGGATCAGGATCATTCTAAATTCTGCATTATATTATGATAGTACTTGTTTAAACCATTATACAATTTATTTTGCTTATATTTTTTATTTGGATTTTATTTGTTCCAGTCCTAGTATAAAAGCTACCTGTTAGCACAGTCCTGGCTTATGAAGTATCATTGTGTGTGTTATTGAGATATAATTCACATACCATGAAATTTTCCCATTTAGAAGTATACACAATTCAGTGTTTTTAGCATAGTCACAGAATTTCACAACTGCCACCACGACCCAATTTTAGAACATTTTCATTACTCCAAAAAGAAACTCCATCCTAATTAGCACTCATTCCCCGCTCCTCCACACCCAGCCCTGGGTCACCACCGTCTCCTCTCTGTCTCTGTTCTGTTCTGGACATTCCATATAAATAGAGTTGTGCACTGTTGTCTTCTGTGATTGGCTTTTCATTTAGCATGATGTTTCCAAGATTCATCCATGTTGTAACATGTCTAAGTATATAATATTCCAGTGTATGGATTTACCAAATTTTGTTTATCCATTTGTCAGTTGATGGACATTTGGGTTCTTTCCAATTTTTGGCTGTTATGAGTAATGCTGCTGTGAACATCTGTGTACCAGTTTTTTATAGACATATCTTTTTCTTGGGTAGATACTAAAAATAGAATTGCTGGGTCACATGGTAACTGTATATTTAATATTTTGAGGAATTGTCAGTTGTCCAAAGCAGCTGCACTGTTTTGCATTCTCACCAGCAGTGTGTGAGGGTTCTGGTTTTTCCACATCCTCATCAACGAACACTTAGTGTCTTGTTTCTGGTGTTTTGGTTATAGATGCTAGCCATCCTAGTAGGTCTGAAGTGTAATCTATTTCATTGTGGTTTTGATATGCATATGCCTAATTACTAATGATGAGAATATTTTCATGTGTTTATTGGCCATTTATATATCTTCTTTGGAGAAATATCTATTCAAATCTTTGCCATTTTTAAATGGAATTATGTGTCTTTATTATTGAGTTGTAAGAGAGTTCTGTTTACATTCTGGATATAAGTTTCTTATCAGATATAAGATTTACAAATATTTTCTCTCATTCTATTTTTTGATGGTATTGTTGGTAGCACAAAAGACTTCAATTTTGATGAAGTTTAATTTTTCTTTTGATGATAGTGCTTTTGGTATCATATCCAAGAAACCATAGCCTATTCTGAGGTCATAAAGATTTACTGCTATGTTTTCTTTGAAGACTTTTATAGTTATAGCTCTTGCACTTAGGTTTCTGATCCATTTTCAGTTGATTTTTGTGTATGCTGTGAGGTAGGGATCCAACTTCATTCTTTTGCATGTGGATGTACAGTTGTCCCAGCATCACTTGTTGAAAAAGCTATTCTTTCCCATTGATTTGTCTGTCAAAAGTTAATCATAAATGTAAGAGTTCTGCACTCTCAGTTTTGTATCACTGATCTTGGTTTGTTAAACATTTGCAGTAGTATTTTTAAAATTTATTTCTAGAAATGATGACTCTACATGAAATATTTTTTCTCTTTAGCTTAAAAAAAGTTACCAAATTAAATGTAGTTATTAAAAAATACACTTGTAAGCTATTTTAGGCAGAAGACCTTGAAGCACATAAAATTTCAGGCATTTTATGGTAGCTCTTTTTTTAATAGTCACTTTCATATTGCTTCCTTATTTTTCAATGTCTAAAATTTGAATAGTTGGTAGAAAAATGTTTACCCATGCAGAACAGGAAAGTACTGAAAACAAATGGCAGTAGCAAAATTCAAATGAGTATGAAGTTTACTTGTATAAAGAGAGGCTGTATTCTGTTGCATCATTGCAATCTGAATACCAAACAGCCTGTTAAAAACTGGAAGAGTAACATTTTTGAAAACATTGATGATTCTTTGATTATGACTCCCGTAATTATATGTTGTCTGCAGCCTTTTCTCTTTCGGAGCTTATATTACTGCTTGGTTTTGTTTTCTTGGAGAGCAGCGAGCACCTAAAGTTCTAATGGCGTTACTGTTGTGTTATCGTCCTCCTGTCTTATGTGCATGTTACTAAACAAGGAGTGCTCAAAGTGCTTGATTTTGCAAAAAACGAATCTCTGTGTGTTTGTGCCGGTGCTACAGTTTCCTGTTACATTGTGTATAGACAATGAACATATTTTAGACATCAGGCTGATGACTTTGAATTTCATTTAGGAGTCTCTGTCTGAAGTGGAAGAAAAATACAAGAAAGCCATGGTCTCCAATGCACAGTTAGACAATGAGAAGAACAATTTGATCTACCAGGTGGACACCCTCAAGGATGTTATTGAAGAACAGGAAGAACAGATGGCAGAATTTTATAGGGAAAATGAAGAAAAATCAAAGGTAATTGTTCATCTTGTGTTGCACTTCTCTCTTGGATCAGAAAATAAAAACATACCATTTAAAAAATGCTGGGCTTGATGGAAGAGTGCAGCAGACCTGTGAATGATGTTTCAGTCAAAACTGATTGGTCCAAGGAAATTGACAGTGTAAGATATCAGGTCCTGAAATATTTCCCTCTTTTAATTTTTATAAGATTTATTTTATTTTCTTAAGTTTTATCTTTATTTTCTATCACTTAATAGGGAAAATTACCATGAATTACTTATTTCTTCTGTTTTAACCAGCTGAAACTCCACAAAGCTCTGAAGACTTTTAATGGGATGGCTCATTTTTTCTTTCCTTTCTTTTTCAAGAGAACCTGTTTTCTGAGTGATTGGAGAGAAGTTTTAACAGTTATTTAAAGAGTACTGTGGAGGTGTGGGTCAGAAATTGCCTTTTTCTCTAGATGTTTATAAACTATATTGTTAAAATGTGCAGATGGAAAATAAAAGCCACCGCTGAAGGTCTGGATTTGCCCTTTGACAATTGCAGGAAGCGAATTGGATTCTCTTAGAAGCTTACTGGACATGGACTTATTAAAAGTGTTTATATCAGTCCAGGTAGAGGACCAATGGATAATACCACTGGAAAATGAGTTGTCACTACATTGCAAAAATAAAACACAGAAAATAATTTAGGAAATGTGCATCGGTGAATTATTAGAAACAACAGTCTGAATTTATACATACTAAAGGGAGAGAAGCTGTTAATGTAACCTCTAGGAGACCAACATTATACTGTGGAGTCTATAGAAATTTCCTTGAGGACTGCAAATGCTCAGTCCAGTCCATTTTGGTCATGTTTAAAAGGAGTTAGGACGGGTTTGCCAAGGGTTTAGGAGAAGAAGAGATGAGCCGGCTGAGCGCAGTGGATTTTTAGGGCAAAGACGCTGATCTGTATCATACTGTAGTGGTAGATAGCTTGTACATTTGTTAAATCCCACAGAATGTACCACACCAAGCAAGAGGAACCCTACTGTAAACTGTGGACTCTGGGTGATCTGATGGGTCAGGGTAGGTTCACTGATTGTAATGAACGCTCCATCCCAGTATGGGATGTTGATAGTGGGGAGGCTGTGTGTGGGGCAGGGGTTATATGGGAACTTGGTACTTTCTACCCAGACTTGCTGGGAATCTAAGATGTCTGTTTTTTAAAAAGTTAGAACAAGAAGACTTGTGTCTAGGTAGGTGGAAAAAAGGCCTCTGGGTATTTTCATGTTGGATGACCCAATGAAGAATGTGATTTGGTGGCAGTAGGTGGTTTCTTTGTTGATTCTTTCTGTTCCAGGTGCACCAGTTTTGGAGATCCTGAGCTTTCACACTTCACCTAGACTCTCTGGGCTCATTTTCTGCCTTCCCATGCATTTATAATATCTATTTCTGGCTCTTTGCTTCTAGATGATTAGAAGAAAATCTGATGCTAAGTCTTTAATGGTCAGTACTAAAATGAGTTCTTATTTTTCCATCTTCTCAAATGTCCTTGAACATTTTCAAAATTAAAAAAAGAAGAAATCTATGATTAACTATTTTAAGCAACTTAATTTTTCCCTTTTATTTCCTAAGATAGATGTCTTAGTGTACGTAGTTTTTATTCTTTATTTTTGTACATAGTAGTTTTTAATTTTGAGATTTGAAAAAATCTTGTGCTTTTCAAATTTGAAAAATCTGTAACCTGTTTAAATGACCTGTAAATCTGCTTCAGGTACTGTGATGTGGAGGTTTTGTGACAGTGCCTCTCTGTAGGTTACCCTGAGCTCTCTTCTCCTGAACAGATATTGCCTCATGCAGTTGGATGTTCATGTTCCCAGACACACAAAGGGGTCAGCCACTCTGGTATGTTCCATCAGGGCAGCAGATGGCAAGGGTGGAGAGACCATTCAATTACAGTGATGACAGTAATACAGTTTTCAAAATGTCTTTAGTGCACTTGCTGGAATTACAATCACTACATCTTACATTTACATTTGCTGGGAATCCAAAATGTCTGTTTTTTAAAAAGAATAAGAAGACCTGTATTTAGGTAGGTGGATAAAAGGCCTCTGGGTATTTTCATGTTGGATGACCCACCGAAGAGTGTGATTTGGTGGCAGAATGCATGATTAAGAATGTCTCAGGTATTTTATTCTTTCCTTAAAAGCTTTTCATTTTAGTAGGAAATTCTTTTTTTAGCTTATATGAGATTTTTATTTAAAGTTTATTACAGATTTTAAACATACAGAAAATAAAACCAGAGGAGTAAAATAACCTCTCCTAAACCCATGGCCTATCGCAGCAGCCATCAGCTCACGTCAGTTTTGCTCTGTCCATTTCCCCACTCATTGTTTGAAGGAAGTCTTTGGTGTCTTATATTTTAATATGAGTTGAAGTATGGCTTTCTTTAGTGACATGTAGTCTTTCTCTCTTTTAAACATAACCACAAGACCATTTCACATTGGCAAAAGAATCATTCCTTCATATTACATATCTGGTCATTGTTAAAATTGTCATTGTCTCGGAATTACTTGCCATGTCTGTTAAGTCTCTTTTTATTTATGGGCTTCCTTTCATCTCTCTTTTTTCCCTTACACTATATGTTGAAGAAACTATGGTGCTTGTCTTAACACTTTGTGGTAGTCCTGGGCGTTTTGCCATTTCATCCCCGTGGTGTCCCTAATGTGCTCCTTTTTTCTCTGTAAATAGGTAGTAAGATGTAGAGGCTTAATCAGATATGAGTTTAGTATTTCGGGCAAGTCTACTTCATAGGTTCCCTTGCTTCAGGAGGCCCAGATGCCAGGCCGCCTCTCTGTGATCTGCAGTGGATATTAGATCCAGTAATTGATTTGGGTTGCAAAATGGGGTAGTTTTTAATTTTATCGTTGCTTTATTTTCTTTTCTTATTTTTAAACAGCTTTATTGAGGTATAATTCAAATACCATATGGCACATCTGTTTAAAGTATACAATTTGGTGTTTTTTTTGTAAATTCACAGATACGTGCAGCCATCACATAGTCAATTTTAGAATATTCTCCATTATGTCAAAAAGAAACTCTATACCTTTTAGCTGTCATCTCCCTATCTCCCCCCTGCCCTCAGCTCTAAATAACCACTAACCTACTTTCTGTCTCCATTGATTTCCCTATTCTAGAGTTTCATTTTAATGGAGTCATATGATATATGGTCTTTGTGGTTGGCTTCTTTCCTTCAGCTTAATATTTTCCAGGTTCATCCATGTTGTAGCATTTGTCAGCACTTCATTCCTTTTTATAGTCAAATTATATTCCAGTGTATGGATATACCTCATTTTGTTTATCCATTTGTGCCTTGATGGACATTTGTTTTTTTCCCACTTGTCTATGATGAATATTGCTGCTGTGAACATCTGTGTACAAGTGTTTGCATGGACATCTTAAGTATATACTTAGGAGTGGAGTGGCTGGCTCATATAGCAACTCTGTTTAAGCATGTGAAGAATGCCAGACTGTTTCCAAAGCAGCTGCACCATGTCGCATTCCCACCAGCAGTGCATGCAAGTTCCGATTTCTCCACAGCTTCAGCAACACTTGTTGTCTGACCTTTTGGTAGTCATTCTAGCAGGTGTGGTTTTGATTTGCATTTTCCTGATGATTTCAAGAGTATTTTTGTGTGCTTATTGACTGTATATTTCCCTTGGAGAAATACCTATTCAGATCCATTGCCCATTAAAAATTTTTTTTTATTATTATTGAGATGTAAGAGTTTCTGTAGTCTAGGTACAAGTCCTTTATCAAACACATGATTTGCAAATATTTTCTCCCATCCCATGGGTTGCCTTTTCTTTCCTATGCTTTATTTGTTTGAGAAAGTCCATCTTTAAACAGAAACATCCCCTCATCTCATTACTCAGAAGAGACAGTTCACATAGGGAAGGTGAGATAAAGGCTTGATTCTTTTCCTTTACTGACAAGTTTTCAGAAATAAAGATTTGTTTAGCATATCCTCATAATGATCAATTATTTGGTTTTTTATGAAGTCAAGAATCAAGCATTTCATGATTCAACCTATTGTAGCTTTTATTGTTGAGTTTCAGATTGTCAAAACTTTAATGTGAACCTCTTGAGGTTGACTCCCATGTCATTTTGAAATGAGTTGAAGTGTTTCTAATAGTTGCTTTGCTGCCTGCCACAGGAGACAGAATTTCAGGCTCATCCGGCCTGTTTCCTGCTTCAGACCTGGAATCAGCTGGCTGTCCGTGGGGCCCCGGTGTGAGTCCTAGGGTGCCCTTGCCACCAGGCTTTTTTAGGGGATCTGTCCAGGAAATACGTGTGGGGGGTATTTTTTGTTTTTAAAGGGAAAATATATTAGAAGTTTATGTTGATAAGCTGTAGTTTGTAGTCAGGCCTCCAGGGATTTTTCTGAACCTCTGTCTTACATGAGTATCTCCTTTTTCCCACATGACCATCCCCAGTTCGCAAAGCCACTGGGGATGGTAGTAATTATGTTCTCTTCTGTTCCCATTGCTTTATCCCATAGTACCCAGAATAGCAATACCAACATTACCACCACCCATGTAATTACTGAAAGTAGTTATAAGTTTGTCATTTTGTTCTTTTTGTTTGTTATTTTGCTGCTAGGTTGTATAGTCCAACCATTGTTTCTAGAAGTTACTCTCTCTGTGCTTTATGCTACTAATTGGATATATAGTTAGGTTCACTGCATTTACTCTCAATGTGTAAGAATTGTTTTGTAAATTTTTATTTAAAAGTTATTTTAAATTGTGGTAAAAACATAAAATTTATCATTGTAACTATCTTAGAGTGTACCGCTCAGGGTTCATTCACATTGTTATGCAGTGGACCTCCAGAACATTTTTGTATTGCAAAACTGAAACTCTGAACAGCTTCCCACTCCTGGCAGCCACCATGCTACTCTGTCTCTGTGAGTTTGCCTACTCTGTGTAAGTGCAATCAAAGAATATTTGTCCCTTTGTGACTGGCTTGTGTCACGTACCGTAATGCCCTCAAGGTTCATCCATGCTGTAGCAGGTCACAGGATTTCCTTCCTGAATAATATTACACTGTGTGTATTTACCACATTTTGTTTATGCATTCATCTGTTGTTGAACACTTGGGTTACTTCCACCAGGAGTTACTTTTTATAAACTTAATTTTGTCTTATAATTACATAAAATATTTACGTAGTCTGAAGTCAGATTAACAAGGAAAATATATTCAGAGGAGTCAGTCTTCTTCCCCTGTCTCTTCATTTGTTTCCTCCTTCCTTAAGGGAATTTTTTAAGTAAGTGGTTGATCCTTCCATTTTTTAGTCTAAGAAGATTATATATATTTTTCCATTCAAAAAAATACATATACAAATACATATGTGTGTACCCTACTTTACTAGAAAATTGTAGCATGCTGTAAGTACTTCTCTATGAGTGTAGTGTATAGAGAGCTTCCTCATTCCATGTGTTTCACTGGATAGTTATTCCATTGTGTGGGTACACTGCAGCTTATTCCACCAGCAACCTACTTACGGGCTTTCCAGTTCTTTGCTGTCTTTTGGTGTAGAGATAGTCCTGCAAAAATAACGTATACTGCATGGGCCTTTTGCATGATTGCCTGTCATGGGAGTCATAAAAGTGGGTTTGCTTGGTAGAAAGCTAGGGAAATTCTGCTAGACCTGCCGAATTCCTCTTTGAAGGGTTTATACCATTTTGCATTCACACCAAAATGTATGAGAGGGCCTGTTTCCTTCCCCACAGTACTTTCCTAAATATGTTATCAAGTTTTGGGGTTTTACTAATGTTTTGGTATGAAGTGCAGTTTTAATTTGTATTTCTCTTAGTATGATTGTCTGTTCATATTCAGAGTGGTTTTTATTTCTTTTTCTGTGAACTATCCATTTTTTAGTCTGTGTTTCTATATAGTAGTGGTTTTTTTCCTTTCTAATTTTAGAGGCTCTCTATATGGATAGACAGTAACCTTTTGTCTCTGATATAAGTTGTAAATTTTAGTTTTTCAGTTTGTTATTTGTCTTCTTACTTCACTTCGGGTGTCCTTTCCATTCAAAAGTTTTTTATTTTTATGTAGTCGGATTTAATACCCCTTTCCCCTTCTTGCTTGTGGAGTTTGAGTCATTTTTTAGTAACATTTTCCCATTCCTGAGTTTTAGAAATTCACTCATCTTTTCTTTTGTAACTCTTTCCTTCCTCCCTCCTTCCCTCTCTCCTTTCTGTACACTTCAGCTCCATTTGAATTTGTCGTGGTGTACAGGGTATGTAGCTCTGGGGTTCTTATTCCATATGGATAGCCAGTTGTCCCAACATCACTAATATAAAAGTCTTATCTTTCTTCATTGACTTGAGATGCTCTTTTTCTTTTGTTCTTATTTCATATATCTGTATGCATAATTGGACCATTTCAGGATTTTCTGTTCTGCTTCATTGGTCTGTATTCATGAACCATTACAACATTGTTTTAATTATATAGGGGCCTTATGATATGTTTTACCATTATAATCAACTGCTCTTGTGATGAGAAATCATGGTATTTTTGTTTGGACTGCATTAAATGTATATAGATTAATTTGGGGGAGAACTGACACTTTTATGATATTGAGTCTTTTTTACCCAAAAAGATGGTATGCCTTTCCATTTATGTAGTCTTATTTCTATGTCTTCCAGGAATATGTTATATAATTTTCTTCATAGAGATTTTGGATATATCTTAATAAGTTTACTTGTATGTGTTTTTAAATTTTATTTTTTGATATTGAATTTATTATACCTTCTGCCTAAATTTTGTTTCTACCTATGAAGATTACTGAATTTTGCATGTTAACTTTATAACTATACTTCACTAAGTGATTTTGTTGTTCCTAGTAGTTTTGCCATTAATTAGTTTGAGTTGTCTAGATATAAAATCTTATGAAGACGAGAAATCTTAAATTTCTGAACCTTTCCATAGCTGCAGAATTTCTGTAAATTACTGTGCGTTGGCAGTCAAGGCATGTTTCTGGAGGTCACACTTGACCTCTGCAGTATTATACTGTAGATGTTCCGGCTTGTCATTGTTTCATTTGCTAATGACAGGAATTGGAAAGGCAGAAGCACATGTGCAGTGTGCTGCAGCACAAGATGGATGAGCTGAAAGAAGGCCTTCGACAAAGAGATGAGCTCATAGAGGTAAGTGCAGCTGGTGTGCGACACCTAACCTTGAAAAATGCACTGACTGGGATGAGGCTGGGTGTACTGTGGGGGTCGGGGCCAAAGTGCCAGAGTTCTCTTGTCCCTCCATGTCTGATTGTGCCCTAAAATTTTACACACATGAACACAAAGGCAGGCTTTAAAAATTCATACTATGGACCCTGTAAGTAGTTCTTTTACTAGGAGAAGCTTTTGCAATTGTCTTTTATTCCTAAGCACATTTTCTCCTAAAGCTATCTTAGGAAATAGGCAAAAGGAAGAATTACAGAGGACTAGTGTTCTCTGCAATGTAGTGGATACTGTCTTTTGGGACTTGGTTCTTGGGGAGTAAGATGTCTGATAGTCACTCAGGCAAATCCATTTCTGAGGTGGCTAAAGAAACCATCCAGATACCTTATAGCCACAGTGGCAAAGCTTGGCTGGGGCTGAGGTTCAGGTTTGGCTGGTGGAGGAGCTGGAGAGCTGCAGTGTTGGCAGCACCTCAGGCAGGGGAAGAGTGTGGTCCCCCAAGACCTGGGAACGCACAGGTCACCTTTCTGTGGTCACTACCTCATGTGCATGTGTGTGTTTCTTTAAATGCAGTTTTTCCTCTGGAGGTTGTCATTTTTTAAAGGTATGGAACTAAGTTTGTTGGGAAGGACTCCTGACCCCTGCCTGGGTGCCGCCATCTAGGAGGCCCAGTGGTGACTCAGTGTGATGACATGTAGTGCACCAGGAAGGCCAGCTCTTGATCTGGGTAGGGTGGGGGGTGCCGCCCTGGGCCACCTGGGCTCGTCCATGTCCCTGGACGCTCAGACCCCCAGTTCACCTTTGCCCTTCCTCTTTTTCTCTTTCCCCAAGGACTGCCTCACTTAATCTCTCTGTAAATGACTAAATCCATTTAATAGAGGAAAAGAAATGACTGTTTTTCTATTTGTGAGTTTATGTACTTTTCTTCATTCTTGAGAATAAACAGCCTGCTGAAAGCAGATACAGTTTGAAGTTGTAAATGCAGACACAGATAGCCCTTTGAAAATACCAAATTACACATGAAATCAGTTGTCTAAGTTTTTTCACATATGGCAAGAAGTGTATTATCCAAATTTGTTTCCTTCTGGTATTTAAAAATAATGTGAATCCCTCTCCCTTTTTGTCCTTTTGTGTTTTTGTGTGTCCCTATGCTAGCCACTTTTTATTTCTTTTAAAAGTACAATTAAGATATGTACCTTTCCCCCTTTATGATTTCAAAAGAATAATGAAACTCGTTGGGAGCTGCTCCTCATTCAGTAGCTTAAGTTAGAATTGGCAAATGTTCTATTTTTTAATTTGATGATTATGTTTAAGAGGAATTGTAATGCTTGATTGCTGTAATTTGTCACTGATTTCTTTAAAAGCCCAAGGTGCTGGGTATACAAACTCTAAAAACCCAAGTTTTAGGTGTTTTTTTTTTTGTTTAAAATGAACATCTTTTTGATGTTAATATCCTTGTTTATGTGTAACTGAAAAACCTTGACTATAACAAAATAATGCTTTTTGAAAGTCTTTAGAATTGAGAATCATGTGGTGAGAAATGTATGAATAGGGAAAGTAGGAGATGATAATGTACCAATAATGCTTAAAAGAAAGCCTGTTAAATATGAGGTATAAATTGAGTATCGCTGCCTAATCAGAAGTTGTTGAAGAATCACAAAATATTAAATTGTAGTTTTCCCAAAAGCTGATGTGACTGTGTGTTCATCATTCATGGTGATCTTGCTGTCATAGATTCTGCTAACAGAAATTCAAAGTGCTTAAGCTATGTCCCTCATGTTTTCTTTTAGTTCTGCTTAAAAGATAAAGTTCAAAACTGCTTGTTCTCCATGATAAGTATCATTTGTTCATAAGCAAATGAAATTTCCATTTCCAGAAATGAAAATTGTTCCATGTTTGGAAAAGGCAACCATCAAAGGAAGAGTGCACACAGGGAGCTGCATGCACACAGGGGCCTCGCTGGCCAGCGGTCGGGACAGCTGTTCCTGCTCCCTGTTGACCTTTACAGGGGTGGGCCAGTGGGGGTTATGTCACCAAGACACTGAATGTCATCTTTCCTGTTAGCAAGGAACTCCTGCTTCTCCTGTTCATCACAGACTTTGCCCTTCTGTTGAGTTTATCTGCTTTATTTTTGTTCTGTTTTCTTCCCTCTAAGCCCCTCCTTTTTTTCTTTCTGCTCTTTTATTACCTCTTGTCCCCTCTTTCTCTGCAGGAGAATCAGCGTATGCAGCAGAAAGTAGACACCATGACAAAAGAGGTGTTTGACCTCCAGGAGACACTTCTTTGGAAAGATAAACACATTAGGGTATGGATGAAATTGGGCTTTGTTCTGAAGCTCATCAATGAGGAATAGACCAATGTAATTGAACTTAGTGATGCCTCGAAATCTGTCTTTTTTATTATTTTTGAGTATTTATCCAGAAATATGAATAAGCAGAAGTCAGAAAGAAACCTCCATGGGAAAAACCAGATGCTATGCCTGGAAAGAACTCTTCTTTCTAGCTGTATCTGGGCTTGTGAAACCTGTAAGTAGGAACTTTTTGAGGAAGTTCTTTATTTCCCTAGGATTCTTATCCAGAAGCAGCCACAGGCAGTTAATTCAAACTTGTGGGTAACTTAATATCCTTACATTGCAAAAATTTGGGTAAGAAGCAAAAGGATAGGGGGTCGGGGTGGGGAAAGTTCCTAGCATCCCCTAGATCCTTGGTGAATAAGATAGGAAGAGATTACAATCAGTGTAGTTGCAGAAAGGGATAGGAATGTAAGATTTGGCAGTGTTGCCAAATTGTGATGCCATCTCTAATTATAACCCTGGAACTCCCCAGAGCAGGGCCCAGTTAAGGAAAAAGTCTCCAGTGCTTTTTTGCTAAGCCCTTCAGGTAGATGCCAAGTACACAGGAGACTGAGAAAATACCCACTAGGCTCTCCCAAGTCACCTTGCCTGGCAGAGCCATCTCAGCAGCAGCTTGTGTTCTGCAGTAGGGGCCCCACAGTCCTCACTGCCAGGGCTTGAAGACACAGCCAGACCCTTGTTCTGTTCAAGGGTAGGTGTGGTAGCAAACAGATACCGTGTGGAACCTTCTGGATCCTTCCCTCCATTGGTGGAGGTTCTAGTATCTAGTTCTTTTCAACCCCCAAGGACCCATCTTCTCATTAATACACACAGGGAAACAAAACAGAAATAAAGCTACCCTTTAGAGTCTCTGATATTTAAATACTGAATTTTTAAAAATACCACACAAAACTAGCAGAGCCTCTGGAGTATAAATTCACAACTCTTGTTAAGAGTTTTGAAACTGCAATTATGAGCTAACTGATTTCAACTAAATTTTTACTTGGGGAATTTAAAATGAGATGTGAAAAAATGTATAACACAAAGTTGGTAATTTGTAAAGTTCTCATCACTGTCTAGAATGGACTTCTGTTAGGACCTTACATAATTTTCTTTAGTACAGTTCTGCAGGTCTGTGATTTCTGTTTATATGTTTATCTTAGTATTTTCAAGTATCATTTTCCTGTGCACCAGCCATAGGAAAACCCCAAATATCTCAGTCCAATAAAATAGCTATTTAAAATGAAACAAAATTTTTTTCTACCAAAAAGGTGTCTGATGGTTAAGATATAAATGGACTTTTTAATTTTCTTTGTATTTTTGAATGAAGAAGTGGGTATCTTCTTTCTGTGTGGTATTTGATAATGTGTTCCTTTGTTGCTTTTTAAATTAAAATAATTTTTTGAGGTAATTATAGATTGACATGCAGTTGCAAGAAATAATAAAAAAAGATCCTGTATGCCCTTCATCCAATTTTCCCAAGTGAAACATCTTGCAAAACTACAGCACAGTATCACAGCTGGGCACTGATCTTCATACAGGAAGATACAGAAGGTTGTAATCACTGCAAGGAAGCTCTCCTGTTGAGCTTTTATAGCCATATCTACTCCCTCCCCTACCCCGTCCCAACCTCCGCAGCCGCTAACCCATCCTCTTTTCTATAATTTTGCCATTTTAAGAGTGTTTTATGAATGGAATCATGTAGTATAAAGCCTTTTTAAAAAATTAAGGTATCATTGATATACACTTTTATGAATATTTCACATGAAAAACGCTGAGGTTAGTGCATTCACCCATATTATCAAGTCCCCACCACACCCCATTGCAGTCACTTCCATCAGTGTAGTAGGATGCCACAGACTCACTACTTCTCTGTGCTACACTGTCTTCCCCATGACACCTCCCCACACCATGTGTGCCAATCATAATACCCCTCAATCCCCTTCTCCCTCCCTTCCCACCCACCCTCCCTGACCCTTTCCCTCTGGTAACCACTAGTCCCTTCTTGGAGTCTGTGACTCTGCTGCTGTTTTGTTTCTTCAGTTTTGCTTCGTTGTTACACTCCACAAGTAAGGGCAATCATTTGGTACTTGTCTTTCTCCGCCTGACTTATTTTACTGAGCAAATACCCTCTAGCTCCATCCGTGTTGTTGCAAATGGTAGGATTTGTTTTATTATTATGGCTGAATAGTATTCCATTGTGTGTATGTACCACATCTTTATCCATTCATGTACTGATGGACACTTAGGCTGCTTCCGTATCTTGGCTATTGTAAATAGTTCTGCAATAGACATAGGGGTGCATATGTCTTTTTGAATCTGAGAACTTGTTTTCTTTGGGTAATTCCTAGGAGTGGAATTTCCGTGTCAAATGGTATTTCTATTTTTAGTTTTTTGAGGAACCTCCATATTACTTTCTACAATGGTTGAACTACTTTACTGTCCCACCAACAGTGTAGGAGGGTTCCCCTTTCTCCACATCCTTGCCATCATTTGTTGTTCTAGAATTTTCAATATTGGCCATCCTAACTGGTGTGAGGAGATACCTCATTGTGGTTTTAATTTTCATTTCCCTGATAATTAGCGATGTGGAGTATCTTTTCATGTGCCTGTTGGTCATCTGAATTTCTTCTTTGGAGAAGTGTCTGTTCAGGTTCTATACCCATTTTTTATCAGATTATTTGCTTTTTGGGTGTTGAGGCATGTGAGTTCTTTATATATTTTGTATGTTAACCCCTTGTCGGATATGTCATTTGTGAATATATTCTCCCATACTGTAGGACATCTTTTTGTTCTGCTGGTGGTGTCCTTTGCTGTCCAGAAGCTTTTTAGTTTGATGTAGTCCCATTTGTTCATTTTTGCTTTTGTTTCACTTTCCTGAGGAGATGTGTGCAGGAAAAAGTTGCTCATGTTTATATTAAAGAGAGTTTTGGGTATGTTTTCTTCTAAGAGTTTTATAATTTCATGACTTATATTCAGGTCTTTGATCCATTTCAAGTTTACTTTTGTATATGGAGTTAGACAATAATCCAGTTTCATTCTCTTGCATGTAGCTGTCCAGTTTTGCGAACTCCAGCTGTTGAAGAGGCTGTCATTTCCCCATTGTATATCCATGGCTCCTTTCTCATATATTAATTGACCATATATGCTTGGGTTTATATCTGGGTTCTCTATTGTGTTCCATTGATCTGTGGGTCTGTTCTTGTGCCAGTACCAAATTGTCTTGATTACTGTGGCTTTGTAGGAGAGCTTGAAGTTGGGGAGCATAATTCCCCCAGCTTTATTCTTCCTTCTCAGGATTGCTTTGGCTATTTGGCATCTTTTGTGGTTCCATATAAATTTTAGGACTATTTGTTCTAGCACGTTGAAGAATGCTATTGGTATCCTGATAGGGATTTCATTGAATCTGTAGATTGCTTTAGGCAGGATGGCCATTTGATAATATTAATTCTTGTTATCCACAAGCATGGGATGTATTTCCATTTATTGGTGTCTTCTTTAATTTCTCTCATGCATATCTTACAGTTTTCAGGGTATAGGTCTTTTACCTTCCTGGTTTGGTTTAGTAGTATAAAACCTTTTAATACTACATTTGTTCATTCTACCAAAAAGGTGTCTGATGGTTAAGATATAAATGGACTTTTTAATTTTCTTTGTATTTTTGAATGAAGAAGTGGGTATCTTCTTTCTGTGTGGTATTTAATAATGTGTTCCTTTGTTGCTTTTTAAATTAAAATAATTTTTTGAGGTAATTATAGATTGACATGCAGTTGCAAGAAATAATAAAAAAAGATCCTGTATGCCCTTCATCCAATTTTCCCAAGTGAAACATCTTGCAAAACTACAGCACAGTATCACAGCTGGGCACTGATCTTCATACAGGAAGATACAGAAGGTTGTAATCACTGCAAGGAAGCTCTCCTGTTGAGCTTTTATAGCCATATCTACTCCCTCCCCTACCCCGTCCCAACCTCCGCAGCCGCTAACCCATCCTCTTTTCTATAATTTTGCCATTTTAAGAGTGTTTTATGAATGGAATCATGTAGTATAAAGCCTTTTTAAAAAATTAAGGTATCATTGATATACACTTTTATGAATATTTCACATGAAAAACGCTGAGGTTAGTGCATTCACCCATATTATCAAGTCCCCACCACACCCCATTGCAGTCACTTCCATCAGTGTAGTAGGATGCCACAGACTCACTACTTCTCTGTGCTACACTGTCTTCCCCATGACACCTCCCCACACCATGTGTGCCAATCATAATACCCCTCAATCCCCTTCTCCCTCCCTTCCCACCCACCCTCCCTGACCCTTTCCCTCTGGTAACCACTAGTCCCTTCTTGGAGTCTGTGACTCTGCTGCTGTTTTGTTTCTTCAGTTTTGCTTCGTTGTTACACTCCACAAGTAAGGGCAATCATTTGGTACTTGTCTTTCTCCGCCTGACTTATTTTACTGAGCAAATACCCTCTAGCTCCATCCGTGTTGTTGCAAATGGTAGGATTTGTTTTATTATTATGGCTGAATAGTATTCCATTGTGTGTATGTACCACATCTTTATCCATTCATGTACTGATGGACACTTAGGCTGCTTCCGTATCTTGGCTATTGTAAATAGTTCTGCAATAGACATAGGGGTGCATATGTCTTTTTGAATCTGAGAACTTGTTTTCTTTGGGTAATTCCTAGGAGTGGAATTTCCGTGTCAAATGGTATTTCTATTTTTAGTTTTTTGAGGAACCTCCATATTACTTTCTACAATGGTTGAACTACTTTACTGTCCCACCAACAGTGTAGGAGGGTTCCCCTTTCTCCACATCCTTGCCATCATTTGTTGTTCTAGAATTTTCAATATTGGCCATCCTAACTGGTGTGAGGAGATACCTCATTGTGGTTTTAATTTTCATTTCCCTGATAATTAGCGATGTGGAGTATCTTTTCATGTGCCTGTTGGTCATCTGAATTTCTTCTTTGGAGAAGTGTCTGTTCAGGTTCTATACCCATTTTTTATCAGATTATTTGCTTTTTGGGTGTTGAGGCATGTGAGTTCTTTATATATTTTGTATGTTAACCCCTTGTTGGATATGTCATTTGTGAATATATTCTCCCATACTGTAGGACATCTTTTTGTTCTGCTGGTGGTGTCTTTTGCTGTCCAGAAGCTTTTTAGTTTGATGTAGTCCCATTTGTTCATTTTTGCTTTTGTTTCACTTTCCTGAGGAGATGTGTGCAGGAAAAAGTTGCTCATGTTTATATTAAAGAGAGTTTTGGGTATGTTTTCTTCTAAGAGTTTTATAATTTCATGACTTATATTCAGGTCTTTGATCCATTTCAAGTTTACTTTTGTATATGGAGTTAGACAATAATCCAGTTTCATTCTCTTGCATGTAGCTGTCCAGTTTTGCGAACTCCAGCTGTTGAAGAGGCTGTCATTTCCCCATTGTATATCCATGGCTCCTTTCTCATATATTAATTGACCATATATGCTTGGGTTTATATCTGGGTTCTCTATTGTGTTCCATTGATCTGTGGGTCTGTTCTTGTGCCAGTACCAAATTGTCTTGATTACTGTGGCTTTGTAGGAGAGCTTGAAGTTGGGGAGCATAATTCCCCCAGCTTTATTCTTCCTTCTCAGGATTGCTTTGGCTATTTGGCATCTTTTGTGGTTCCATATAAATTTTAGGACTATTTGTTCTAGCACGTTGAAGAATGCCATTGGTATTCTGATAGGGATTTCATTGAATCTGTAGATTGCTTTAGGCAGGATGGCCATTTGATAATATTAATTCTTGTTATCCACAAGCATGGGATGTATTTCCATTTATTGGTGTCTTCTTTAATTTCTCTCATGCATATCTTACAGTTTTCAGGGTATAGGTCTTTTACCTTCCTGGTTTGGTTTAGTAGTATAAAACCTTTTAATACTACATTTGTTCGTGCAGCATAATTCCCTTGAGAATCTAGCCAAGTTGGTATTTGTATGTATTGATATTTGTTCCTCCTTTGACTATTTGTTTTTTTTTTATTGTGGTAAAATACAAGTATTTTTACCACATTTTAACCATTTTTAAGGGTAGAGTTTGTGGGTATTAAATGCAGTCACACAGTTGGATTACCATTGCACCATCCATCCACAGAACTTGCTTCACCTTGCAGAACCAGAACTCTGTTCCATCAAACACCAACTTCCAGTTCTGCCTTCCGCTGGCCTCTGGCACCTACCCTTCTATTTCTTCTCTTTATGAATTTGACTCCTCTAGATATCTCATATAAGTGGTATCACTGGATTTGTCTTTTTGTGACTGGCTTATATTTTACTCAGCCCAAGGTCCTCAAGGTTCATCCTTATAGTAACAGATGCCAGAATGTCCTCCCTTTTTAAGACTGAATAATGCTCCATTGTATGGATAGACCACATTTTGCTTATCCACTCTGTTGGTGGACACTTGGGTTGCTCCCACCTTTTGGCTATTGTGAGTAATGCTGCTATGAACATAGTCTGCAGCTACCTCTCTGTGACCCTCTTTAATTTCTCTGGGTATATACCCAGGAGCGGAACTGCTGCATTATATGGCAATTCTCTGTCATTTTTTGAGGAACCATCATATCGTGTTCCACAGCAGCTGCATCCCCACCAGCACTCATAAGGGTTCCAGTCTCTCTACACCCTTACCAACACTTGTTTGATAGCAGCCATCCTAATGTGTGTAAGGTTTAAAAGAGACATTTTCAGTACAGTGACTACCTAATACATTACACATCTCTAGTTTCATTTTCAAGATTCAAAATTAGCAACTTAATGAAGGAACATGGCTGTTATTCTCAATTTAAAGTTCAGCTTTGTTTAGTTCTTCCTTCATCGATCCTAGTGGTCATGCCTCTAGCCCCAAGGTAGTCCCATACAAAGGACTTGTATATCCACACAGCCCAGCAGAGGACTCACACCCATTCTGACACATATGTTTGTGCCCCTGTATGATTAGATGGAGAATTAAGCTGTTGCCCAAACATTCAACCTGTTAAATCCATCTTTCAGGTTTCTTGACTCCAGAAGTTGAGGTTAGGTCAGGTTAAAAAATTACTTATATTTTCACAAGCATGTACTTTTAACCCTTAATAACAAAGATCCTTGTAGGAACTATTAGTGAACACAAACTCAGGGTAGTGGTTTTATGGTCAGGCAATATGGAGGATTTCAGATCGTGTGAATACATTTGGCCCAGTTAGAAGGCATTTCCGTGGTCTCCAAACTCCGTGGTGAAATAGGAGGACTCAGGGGATGTATTTTATTCTTCCACCATGGCTGTGGGAAGATGAAGTCAGGAAGTCCAGAGTAAAGATAAAGCCTACTGCTGTAAGATGTGGAAGAGGAGCAAATGGCAACTAGTAGCATTTGGTACTTACTTTCAAATTGGTCTGTTCCTAAGTGATTGTGTGTGTGGAGTGTTGTTTATAGAGCATGCTTTGACAGCAATCACTGACCCAGGAGGTGTGGTGATTGATGCATGGCCTCACTGTGCATGCAGACAACCAAAACTATCTAACTCAGCAGAGATGTAACTGCTAATAGACAGTGGTTTTGCTGTTTTCCTAATGTTACATTTGTTGTTAACATAATAGAGGGTTAATATCAGCTTGAAGTGTTAGGATAAATGCCTTAGATGCTAGAAACTCCAGTGATTAGTTCATAGGCGGGCTTGAGACATCCTGTGGTGTGAATGTAAATGTTGAAAGGAGGTAGTCATGCATGTTGTACTTTGGGTAAACAGGGAATAGGGCTTGTCCTGTGGATTACTTTTCCAGCAGCATCTGGATGACAATAAGGAAACATAACTGTGGCCTTCATGGGGCTGTGATGTAGAAAAGTGCAATATAGAAAAATGTGCAAGGGTTTTGGAACCGCAAAAACCTGTATTGATTTTTCTGGCTTTGCCACTTAGGTAACTTTGAGCAAAAAAAAAAAAAAAAGATACTCTGACCCTCAATTTTCTGATCTGTGAACATGTGGATACAGCAAGTACAGGGTATACAAGGGAGAAATTACATATACAAATATAACATGTACGGGTGAAGTTGTCTGTATATGTAACAGTGCTTGCCGTATAGCTGGAGCTACACAAATGGTAGTGGCTATAATCCCCATTTACTTATTCCCAGTTTTATTTCAGAATTGGATAATAATGATTTCAAAAGCTGCCCAACTATTCTGCAATCAGTAAATAAACCCACTTCTAAATCCAGTAAACTAGGACTGGGAAGGTTACCTGTGGTTATTAAACTCCTCGAGTTAATGGGAATGCTGGCAGAAAATATTAAATATATGAGCAACTGTGCAGAGAACGGCTTTTTCAAACAGCCCAGCGGTCAGGTTCCTGCACAGATTGCTTACCTGAGGTATGTTTTGAAGTCTGGCATTTTATGACATAGATTGGATTTGTCACTGAGGACTGAAGTGTATTCCTGCTTCTGCATTGCCGTCCTCGGCTCTGACGGTTGTGGGTTCAGGCAGTGACAGGGAAGTAGGGATGGAAACACCAGCTGGCTTTTCCTGCATCCCTGTGACTTAGACACTGCAGGCAGTGCCCTTTACTGAGCACTCTTTTAAGGCTGTGCCATGGGGTGGCTGTACTGGTACCCCGTCTGGTTTTCAGATGAGGAAACTGAGGCATAGGTAAGTTCATGTGCTGGCATTCAAAAGCCTCGTTCCAAAACCCACTTTGTGCTGCCTTCTGTAGGTGGGCTGTATTTATTTTGTCAGTGTTTTGTGTTTTTTGCATTTTGAAGGTTTATCAGAAAACCAACTGACTCTTATTTGTATTTAATTGGATTAACAAAAAGGTCATTGAGAATCTCTGGAGACTGCCATTTTTAAATAAGTGATATTTGAGGAATATTTTGCCACACTACTTGGGGAACAGTCACTACAGTCAATATTTAATTGAAATGCCTTGACTATACTGGTTATTTTTCTTCCAGTACCTTTTTGTAATTAAAAAAAAATCAAGTATATTCTTGAGTAAACTGTTTAGTTGCACATGAAATGCAGTTTTTGTTCCGTTTTGTTGTTTTTCTGGTTCACCAGATGCCCTGAGGAGGGCAGCAAGAACTTTATTATATTACGGTTGCCTGCATCTTCCTTTTCCTGTCTTTTCATCAACTGCAAAAGAAAGACCTGTTTTCCTGCCTGATGTCATGAGCATGTTTTGCCGACTTCATGCACGCTCAGCCAGTTTCTATTAACAATCTGCTGGAGATGTGTGTTCCTACAGCTTTGTGCTTCCTCCCAGACCTGACTGCTTGTTTCCATGCTTCCCACGAGCCTGTGTCTCTTGGCCCTTCCTCCTGGCTTCCTTGAGTTAGGTGCTGTCTGCTGCCTTTCACTTGGTTCTCCTTCTGTGCATTATTTCCCTTGTTACCCTCAAACCAGGGCCTAGAGACCCAGAACGAGCACCTTGCCTACCTTAGGACTGAGCGAGATTCGCTCCGAGAAGCGCTGGCTAGCCTGCAGGAGACGGGGAGGACAGGAGAGGTACGTGCGCGCCAGCCTGTGCTCAGGCCCCCACTGCTTGTAATCCCTCCCCCCGCCTGTCACTTCTCCAAGCCCGAATACAAACACAGTGTCCATTCTTCACTTGGCTTTGGTAGGCGTGAGTCGTTTCTTCTGCAGCGCTGTGCATTCCACGTAGCCAGGTTGTACAGGCCAGCAAGTTCTCCCACGACCTCTCACAGGGCATGCTGCCTCTGAGGGCCGCCCTTTGTGATGGTGGCTTTTTTTTGCCCCACAGAAACATGGCTTAGTCATAATCCCTGATGGCACCCCCAATGGTGATGTCAATCTTGAACCCATGGCTGGAGCCATCACTGTGGTCTCTCAGGAAGCTGCTCAGGTCTTGGAGTCAGCAGGAGAAGGCCCACTAGGTAAGATGCTAATTGCCGTGTTTGTTGCCTGGATTAATGTCCTATTAGATTTCTAGCTTGCTCATGTCCTGTCTTGGAAAACAAAAATAACACAAGAGTTGTCTCAAGCATTATCTAGGTCTTCACCAAGAAGAAGTCTGGGTAGACTGCAGGCATCCTTGACCTTGGGAAGTCAGCCTTTGGTCCTTGTGAGACTCCCAGAGGAGGCTGTGGGCATATTCACGTTGCCTTAACACTTCATACAAACCTGCGGGAGATGATCCAGCACCACCAGCCACAGAACCAGTGGGCTGGGCCTGAGTATGATTTACGTTTCTTCTAACTGGAGCATCTGGTTTTCTGTGCTGCTTATCCCAGGGTTCTGTAGTTTCTTGCATCTGCATTTCTTAAAGCAAGAAAGAGACTAGCAAGAAGATATATTGGGAGTGTTACTCCCAGAGCCTCTTAAAGGCTAAGCCTCTTCAGTTTAACCCTTGGGACTCGAATGACCCCTTTCTCAGGAAGCCACACAGATGCCCATCCATTGCCTCCACTAATAGTCCTACTCTAGAGGAAGAATGGCACAGACTGTCTGTCATCAGCTCACTTCTATTTATTAAAAAAGTTATCTTTTATCTCCTTTTCATTTATGTGCAGTTTCCATAAAGGAGTGGGATACACTGTAAGAGTGAGGGAAGCTGGAAGACTTTTAAGTTAGTAAGGACATCCCAATGCATAGAGCTCCAGAAGTGTGATCCAGGAGCACTTTGCTAAAGCAGAAGGTGCTAGCTAGGCGAGTGAGAGCTGCTCCAGGGAATGGCCTGAGTTTGCAGCCATGGGCCGCTCAGAGGGCTTCCTCCGCTTGTTTGCAAGAAACCAGAACTTTCCCGGTTGGTTGTGGGGGCTGCTGGCTCAGTTGTCAGCTGCTTTTACTCATGTGCTGGTATCCCCTCAGAGCCTATTTTAATTAATGCTTACAAGATGCAACCCTCACCTCAGGCCAGGATGAGCCGGTGGTCCTGCCCGTGTCTCAAAGTCAGCCCCTTCTTCCTCAGCACTGTGCTCCTCTGGTTTCTTTGCCCAGCCCCGCTCAGTCCCCCTCTCTGCTCCTGCCAGCCCCCCACCACCTGCATTTCCTGTATTTTGTTATCACCTGGTAAGAGCTCCGTGAAGCCTGGGGGAGCACCGTTTGCATTTGAGTTCTCTACTGTGAAAACTTGTAAATTTTTGAAACAAGGAAATAAATGATCTTTTAGTCAGTTTGTCTTTAATGGAAAATCCCTGCCTTTGGGAGCAAACATGTTCAGTGCTCCGATAAATACCAGCTATGGGGAAATACGTGCTGAATGATTACATACTCCTTAACATCATTAAAGCCATTAATCTCTTTTGATATTGAGAGCTGTATGTTGTTTATTAGATGATGTTTGCTTTTTTTGAATTTGAGGAATTATTTTTAATTGTTTACATACTATGTCATTACAATTTAGTTTACAACCTTTTTCATTTGTTTTAGATGTGAGGCTACGAAAACTTGCTGCAGAAAAGGAAGAGCTACTGTCGCAGGTAAAGGCATTTTTCTCCTGGGAGGGGATGTTAACCGTAACTGACTAAATCATGTGGCAAACTGTTAGCAAATTAAAATGTACACTAGAAAGACATGTACTTACTCCAACATCAGCACTCAAGATTTAAAGGATAAACTGATCGCTCATATTTTGCCTGTTATTTTCTGTTCTTTAAAAAAATTTATAGGACACATAATTTAAGGAGTCAAAAAATTCTACAAAGCTTGTTACAAAGACAGAAATTCCCTACACTGCCGCCCCCACCCATACCTTGACATTCCCATGTGGTCCTTTTAGCTGAACCCCTTGTGAGAAACACACTCACTGGTCCAAATTCAATAAGTGGACACGGAGACAAAGAGAACAGCGGAGCGAGGCTTTAATGACCGTCTTGCAAAATCGGGTGTTTGGTGGGCAGGCACACCTGGGGAGTTAGGCGCCAATAATTTATCTCCTAATGTGCGAGTCCCTCCCCTGTTTCCTCATTGGCTGAGTACTACAGGGTTCACAGTCTTCCCGGACGTCGCCTAAGCCCGTTATATATTTCTTTTACAGGTCTTATTCTTATTGGTAGGTTTAAAAAAACTCAAACAGATATAGCCAGGCCCTTATCAATTTCCCCACCCCCACTCTCAGCCTGAGCAGCTTCCACCACGTGGCCCTTTGTTAATACCTTACTGTTAAAATGTTTAAACATCCTAGTGGGAATAAATCACATTTAGGTTTTATACTCTTTCCTAACACCCTGGGTGCTACTCCTTATGTATCTATAAACAGCTCACCATGCTTCCTGAATGTTCTGTGTTAGGCACCACTGACATCCCTCTGTGGAAGGCAGCGGTTAGCTTTCTTTCACCTGGTCCTACCACCCACGCGGACTCGCACCCCTCTCCTCCTAGTAGAGGTGCAGTGCAGCTCCAGGCTGGGTACCGTTCAGGGCGCCCGACGTCCTGCTCCCAGGCAGCCGGACGCTGCTAGGACTGTCTTTCGTGCCCTTCACAACTTGTTACTTCCCTCCAGTTCATAGTGTGGGTTTCTTTACATTTGTTTCCTAGTACTTCTTACTAATTTAGGTTCGGACTCTCCAGCAGTAGTAAATCCCCCGACTGCTCAGATGCAGCAGGAGCCTCAGTTCCACCTCTGATCATTGGAACTTGCTGGTGTTTGGGGTCACCTCTTCCTGTGGTTTAGGTTGGGTTCCCTTTTGTAAGTTTGGATTTCCTTTTGTAAAAGGAATTTTTGCCTTCCTCCTTTTTCATTCTTTCTTTTAGTGTGGTACATCCCTCAGAATTTCTTGAGAAAGGGATTTGTGGGCTGTAGGTTTTCCTTAACTTTGGAATCCTGAAAATGTCATTTTACCCTCTTGTTTTGAATGCTGCAGTGAATTTTCCTTCATCTTTTCTTTTTTTAAGAAATTGCATCATTATCTTGTGGCATCCAGTATGCTTTTGAGAATTTCAGACATCTTTGTGCCTTTTTGTATGTGAACCCTCCCTCCCCTGGTGTTCATAGTGACATGGTTTGGAGTTCTCGTGCATGGCATGGGCCCCGTCAGTCTCAGAATTTTTGCCCTTCAATTCTGGGAAAATATCTTGAATGATTTGTTCTATTCCCATATTGTGTGTTATAACTTTTTTGAAACTCCTGTTCAGTCCTTCAAATGTTGAATGATATTCTACTATTTCTAGATATTTGGGATATTTCAGTGAACAAATCAGATTGAAAAAAAACCCTGCCTTAGTGGGCCTTACTTTCCAGTGGGAGGAGACCAGCAATAAACAATAAATGTGATAATCCATGAATCACACAGCATGTTAGAGGCTTGTGTGAATGCATTCACTGTGCACGTTCCTCCACCCACATTCAGCTGCATAGGTGCGGGCATGGAGAGGGCAGAGTGCGATTTTACGAGGCTGAGTGCACTTGGGCAGAGGAGGTGAGCGTGTGCAGGCTGGTAATGACGTGAGGAGCCTAGAGATTATACTGGGGGAGGAGGTTTGAAGGGTAGCCAGCCAGGCACAGTGGAAAGAAGGTGGGAGCAGTGGAGTAGAGGCATTAATGGAATTGAAGGCATTTTGGAGTTGCGGTCTGGAGAGAATGAGCTGGAAAGATCGGGAGTACTGGTTAGAGAGCAGACAGACAAAGCAGAGCAATGGAGGGACAGGGCACATGACCAGAGAGCAAGTGGCTGAGGGCAAGGTCCTCACAGAGCTGTTCCGAAACTGAGACATCAGTGGCAGGAGAAGCCCTCTGCTCAGCTGCATCTTGGAATTGACAAGAATGAAGACAGGAGTTGTGCTGCGAGTTGGGAGTGAAAGTAGGGAGGAAAGCGGATGATAGCAGTGACGAGGGGTAGTGACATGGTCTGAGGAGATGAGATTAGACCTGGAAAATTCGGAGAGAATGCCATTTTCAGGCTTAGTGGTAGGCGGGCTGCAAAGGAGGGAGCACGACCCAGTGGAGCAGCTGGGCAGGGGGCAGGGGGCTCAGGGAAAACCTGTAGCACTAGCCGGAATGCAGCCCCCTGGCCTGGGGAGTTGCAGGCCCAGGGAAGGCAGTGGTGTGAAGGTGTCCTGTGTGAGCTGGACTTGACCAGAAGTGCTGGGCACATGGGGTCAGTGCTGCCCCCCAAAGGCGGGCCCTGTGTGCTGGCAGGGCAGTGTCCGGCAGCGCAGACTTAGTCCTGGTGCAGAGTGCACCCTTCCCTGCTGGGGCGGGGCAAACTCATCCAGGTGCAAGGTTCCTCTGACCCCTATGGTGGAGGTGACACAGTGGGGACGTCACCTGGAACTCTGACCATGCAATTCACCCTTGACCCTCCAGGATGAAAGGATGAAAGCAAGCATGGGGAGGCTTGGTCTCTGCCCCAGAGGGAGCCCCCCTTGCAGCGGGAGGCAGACTGGCCAAGCTGGGGTGTCCTCAGGGCCCCTGGGACAAGAGGTGTCAGCATTTGGGGAAACACGAGTCTGTTTCTGAAGGAAGGCACATTAGATCTATGGGACAGATGTTCTAACTTGTTTCTGTTCTATTTTTCCATCACTTTTTGCCTCTTTTGCTCAACTTTTAAAAAGATCCTCTCAGCTTTACCTTCTGATACTCTATTGAGCTCTGGTATTTGCAGTCCTTTCAAGGATGCAGGCATTCCCCTAGCTCAGAGGATGCTGGTAGGCTGGTTGGTATGTTTTCTGAAGTTTTCTCATGTCTGCATATTTTGTTTCCTTCCAGGTGCTCTTTTCTGTGTTTTTTTTTTTTTTTTGTCCTGGGTTTATGAGTGGGCTACTAAAAGCTGATAGGCAGCTGAGCATATGCCCCGTGTTTGGGAGGGTCTCTGTGACTGGGGGTTCTGTTGAGACCTTCCTCTGGGTATGTTGGGTCTTTACTGTAGACTCAGACTCCTAGATAGCCAGCCTCCAATTTTCAGCTTAAGGACCTGGCCTAGCCATCTTCATTTGGGCAATGGAGGGTGAACTAGAGGTCTCAGCACTCATCACAGGTCTTCTGCCTGATGGCCTTGGTTTCCACATGTGTGGCTCTCTTCTCTAGCTGGGCCTTGTTTTTTGACAACCCAAAGTCCCTTCTAATTTTATTTTTTTTTAGTTTCTGTTATTTTTCAGATTGAGAAAAACCAGCTTCATTAGGGAATAATTGGTGTAGAATACAGGTATAAATATATATACCTGTATGAGTTTCCTAAGGCTGCCCTAATGAAGTTCCACAAACTGGGTGATAGTAGAAATTTGCCCTGCAGATCTGGAGAAGCAGCCACAGTCAAGGTGTCAGCAGGGTGGGCTCCCTGTGAGGCCTGCAAAAGGAGGTATGTCCCAGGCTTCTCTTTTAGTTCCAGTGCTTTGCTTGGCAATCTGGCATTCTTTGGCTTGTAGACAACATTTTCTGTGTCTTCATACTCTTACCTCTGTATATGTGCTCCTTTACATGACATTCTTTATATAAGGACACCAGTCATATTGATCAGGCACCCACCCTATTCCAGTATGACCTCATCTCCACTGATTCACCTACAATGACTCTATTTCTAGGTAAGGTCACATTGTGAGATACTGGGGATTAGGACTTCTACATATGAATTTTGGAGGGGTCACAGTTCATCCCATAACAGTACCTGGGAGACCATGACCAGTTAAAGTGATGAAGATATGCATAACACCCCAAGTTCCTGTGTTCCTTTGTAAGCCTGCTTATTGCACCTCCCTCTCCCGCTCCAGGCAGCTGGGGCCCTGCTTTCTGTCGCTGTGGGTGAGTTTTTGAATTTTCTAGCTTGCATAATTGGAGTGGTGCAGTATGTACTCTTCTCTTACGTGACGTCTTTCATGCTGCATTCCTGTTCTGAGATTTCACCTGTTGATGTACTGGCAGTTCTCCCTTTCTTTTTACTTATGTAAGTATGTATGTATATATGTATCATAAATCTACAATTATACGAGTGACATTATGGTTACTAGACTCCCCCCATCATCAAGTCCCCACCACATACCCCATTACAGTCACTGTCCATCAGCGTAGTAAGATGCTGTAGAATCACTACTTGTCTTCTCTGTGTTGCACAGCCCTCCCCGTGACCTACCCCCCACATTATACATGCTAATCGTAATGCCCCCTTTCTTTTTTCCCTGTCCTTATCCCTCCCTTCCCACCCATCCTCCCCAGTCCCTTTCCCTTTGGTAGCTATTAGTCCATTCTTGGGTTCTGTGATTCTGCTGCTGTTTTGTTCCTTCAGTTTTTCTTTGTTCTTATACTCCACATATGAGTAAAATCATTTGGTATTTGTCTTTCTCTGCCTGGCTTATTTCACTGAGCATAATACCCTCTAGCTCCATCCATGTTGTTGCGAATGGTAGGATTTGTTTTCTTCTTA